TAGATATAGAATACACACCCTGACCTATATATGTAGAATACATACACTGATCTATACATGTAGAATATACGCTGTACATGTAGAATACACACTCTGATGTATACATGTAGAATACACACTCTGATCTATAGATATAGAATACACACCCTGACCTATATATGTAGAATACACACTTTGATCTATACATGTAGAATACACACTCTGATCTATACATGTAGAATACACACTCTGATCTATACATGAGAATACACACTCTGATCTATACATGTAGAATACATACTCTGATCTATACATGTAGAATACATACTCTGATCTATATATGTAGAATACATACTCTGATCTATACATGTAGAATATACGCTGTACATGTAGAATACACACTCTGATCTATACATGTAGAATACATACTCTGATCTATACATGTAGAATACACACTCTGATCTATACATGTAGAATACATACTCTGATCTATACATGTAGAATACATACTCTGATCTATACATGTAGAATACACACTCTGATCTATACATGTAGAATACACACTCTGATCTATACATGTAGAATACACACTCTAATCTATACATTTAGAATTTACACACTGATCTATATATGTAGAATACTCTATCTGATCTATACATGTAGAATACACGCTGTACATGTAGAATACACACTTTGATCTGTACATGTAGAATACACACTCTGATCTATACATGTAGAATACACATTCTGATCTATACATGTAGAATACACACTCTGATCTATACATGTAGAATACATACTCTGATCTATACATGTAGAATACACACTCTGATCTATACATGTAGAATACATACTCTGATCTATACATGTAGAATACACACTCTGATCTATACATGTAGAATACACACTCTGATCTACACATGTAGAATACACACTCTGATCTGTACATGTAGAATACACTCTGATGTATACATGTAGAATACACACTCTGATCTATAGATATAGAATACACATTCTGATCTATACATGTAGAATACACACTCTGACCTATACCTTCAGAATACACACTCTGATCTATACATGTAGAATACACACTCTGATCTATACATGTAGAATACACACTCTGATCTATACATGTAGAATACACACTCTGATGTATACATGTAGAATACACGCTCTACATGTAGAATACACACTTTGATCTATACATGTAGAATACACTGATCTATACATGTAGAACACATACTCTGATCTATACATGTAGAATACATACTCTGATCTATACATGTAGAATACACGCTATACATGTAAAATACACACTCTGATCTGTACATGTAGAATATATACTCTGATCTATACATGTAGAATACACACTGATCTATACATGTAGAATACATACTCTGATCTATACATGTAGAATACACGCTGTACATGTAGAATACACACTCTGATCTGTACATGTAGAATACACACTGTACATGTAGAATACACACTCTGATCTATACATGTAGAATACACACTCTGATCTATACATGTAGAATACACACTCCTATACATGCACGCTCTGATCTATACATGTAGAATACACACTCTGATCTGTACATGTAGAATACACGCTGTACATGTAGAATACACACTCTGATCTATACATGTAGAATACACACTCTGATCTATACATGTAGAATACACACTCTGATCTATACATGTAGAATACACACTCTAATCTATACATGTAGATTACACACTATACATCTATAATACACTCTCTGATCTATACATTTAGAATACACACTCTGATCTTCCCAGTCCTGTCCTGGTGGATATATATGATGTGTACTTAAATGACCTGTTAAGGAGTTTGTGGTCTACCTTACTATAAGCTTTGTTATATCAGGTTAATGATGGGTTGACGAATATTTATGTGTAAATTAGACACCTTTGAACGCAATACATGTGTCTGATATTTTGCTTTGTGATAAAAATAACTCGATATTCATACAATCTGGGACTGTAGAATACACGTGCATTCTGGATAATACATGAAGATCGCATGCACGTTCTAATCTAAACCTATGTAGAATTCATACACACACCGTGATAAATAAATAACCCATTCTGATCTATACATGTAGAATACACACACTGTATATTTTGCTATACAAATAACTCGATAGAATACACACTCTGATCTATACTGTAAAATACACACATTCTGGATGATACATGAAGATCGCATGCACGTTCTAATCTAAACCTATGTAGAATACATACACACACTGTGATAAATGAATAACACACTCTGATCTATACATGTAGAATATACACTCTGATCTATACATGTAGAATACACACTCTGATCTATACATGCAGAATACACACTCTGATCTATACATGCAGAATACCCACTCTGATCTATACATGTAGAATAAACACTATACATGTAGAATACACTCTCTGATCTATACCTGTACAATACACACTCTGATCTATTGCACAGATAATGTTACAACACTGATATATATTTTCTGAACTGGCATAGAAATATTCAGCGATGAAAGTGTGTTAAACTGCGTAAAAATATTCAATTTACTTTTTTATTTTTTTTATTTTTATTTCCCTTGAGTGTGACCTTTGTTGTATTTTATCAGTCCTTATCAAACACATTTAGAGTGGGCAAATACAGGACATACATATATTAGCAGTATGTAAACCTGCTTTGATTTAAACACTAAAACAGATACAGCTCAAATACACAGGTAAATGGTAACACCTGGTTGTGAACGGTGACACAATTTATTCCAAATTGTCGGACACCGCTACGTCCTGAAAAATCAAATCTATCATTCATACTCATCGTGATTTTTCATTTCTATATTTAGCATCTAAGAAACAAGGAAGATTAATGAGACAGTCGCTAGAATATACATTAGGATTTACCGATTAAATTCAGTTACATTTGAGAATGTACAGAATATTTGTTAAAGTTAAAATTGTATTGGAAACAGGATCGTGAATTTGCTGAAAATCAACTACAAAATTTAAAGTTAGACAGAAAATCGTTTCCTCGTTTGATAAAAATGAAAATCTTGAACTGCATGTATGTAGCATTTTCAGTTTTACATATGTTGGAGCTATTTTTGTCTTATTACGGAAATGAAATAGTTATTATCTGTTTCTACGTAATGCTTAATGGTGTGTTTAAGCAATAGGCAAAACGTTATTTCGAGGCCGTATTTTTTTCTTCCTTTTTTTTAAAAAAAATTTGATAAAACTTATTTTCCAATTATTATAACAGGTAAAAACAATTATATGCTAAAATGTATCAGTAGTTTTGTGTTTTATTAGAACAACTGAGAGTTCTGGTCTCCGTTACCACGATAAAGCACAACATATCCTGCACGTTATGTATTAATGGATTTTGTGTTTGGAGATTCGATCTATTACGATGACCTGAGAGCCTAATTTTGTTGACAATTGTTCCAGACAACAAATTCCAGCGAACTGCATGGTTATTGGCAAAATATAGTCAGCGGGTGTTGAATTGTAAGAAACATTAACTCTCAGAGCACGAAATAGTTTCTCGTCACGGGGCATGCTATGAACTGGGGCTTTGTGATAAATGAATTTTGCAATGGCGTATTTGTGCGTGTTTCCTTGAACAAAAATTGAAATTAAAACAAACATCCCGTTCATAAGAAAATTCGTCACCAGGAAAATAATTGATACCGAGTCTCATAATGTGAAATGGTAACGAATGCAAGATTCTGTTTATCTTATAACTTACAAACTTACAAGGATTCGTTTGAACAGCATTTATCACGTCGATATAAAATCTAATTTGACGACATTCTCTCTAAACGTTTTCAGGACGCCATAATACATACGCGTGTGACGCGTGAAGTTATGACGTCACAATGGACGAAGGGGATTTCAGACAATCCCAGATGTTAATCGTTATGACAAAGATGTATAATTGTCATCATACAATTGGTACCACAGGAGGTGTTTTAACGATAGCACGATAGTTATACAAGAAAACATTATCTGAATTCTTATTTGCTATTGGGTTTTCTCAGCTTTTCATTTGAACCTTTACATAATTCGAATAATCGAACAAGTATTAAAGAGTTTTAAGAGTTTAATGTAGAGTAGACCGTCTACAAGAGACGGTATGAATTGTATACTATTGTACACTGTTTCAATATTGATTTAAGAAAAAAGTTACAATATCCAAACGCTACATGTAACTGTAATAGTCAGAAAGTTCAATATCTTTCGTAGTTATATTTTATAAAGTAAACTATGCAAAATAATTAGCCATATTAATGAATAGGTAGTTTTGTGCATGTAGCGATGAGATTGAAATTATCTGTATGTACATACACGTTTCCATAGTTATTTGCCTCTAACGATCTGGTTCATGTTAGATTCCAGTCGAAACTCTGTTAATTAGCAACAGTGAGAATAAATCTATACTGACGCCCTCAACACATGCACAATAGTAATACAATACAAAAATTGCTTTAAAACAAACAGCAGACTTACGGGGAAAGGGGCGGGGTGTGGGAGGGGGCGGGTGAGAAAAAATACTATTGACAATCAAATAAGTCACACATACATACATTTTATTTGAATTATTTATGTATATATATATATATATCATTCTAAAACGCCAATACTGATAGTTTAAAATGTTGTGCATAACAGTTTAACTGTAGAGACAAAATGATTCTAACATTTGTACATTGTACATGACTTTTTTTCTATGTCCATATTCATCGCTTTTCACGGCAAACTTCTACAATTGTGTTCTACCAACCTGTTGCACCGGACTTGTGCTCCTCTCTGTCACCGTGTAATCCGAAATCATAAAGAACAAAGAGAAACAACACAAATTTTGAGATATGAAGCTTATGAAGTTTTGTAGCGTCTCATTGCTGACACCTTTAAGGTTGTTATTGTTTTGGGGTGGGTTTTTTTTTTTTTTTTTTTCGTTTTTCGTTCTTTTTTTTTCACATTATTTAGTTGAAATCCAAAGAGGTGATAGTCTTATCCATTCGTTTCATTGAAATCTTTTTGAAACATTTCCGAATCTGCAGTAAATCGTTGAGAGATTTCCTAAATTGAGCGCTGAGACATACATAAATCCAAAAGTTTACTAGGAAACTCACGTACACGAGAACGTTGAGGATAACGGCAAGGTAAAGCGTGGTTAGACTACTAAACAATGTATTATCGTAAAACAAAATGGCGAATACCATTCCATTCGGAAGTTCTACCAATATAAACATGACCACGAGAATAATTATCATTTGGGAGGTCCTTTTGATTTGCCGGAAGTCTCGGCGCTCACGTTCGTTCTCTTCGTGCGCGTGAAGAAGTAATATCCGTTTTGATTCTGTCTTCAACTTCCGGACCAGGAGAAATGTGGTCACTATCAGCAGAGTACAAGGCACAAGTTGACCAAGAGCACAACGAAAGATGTTAACAAGTCTCTCGTATTTTTCTGAGATGTCGGGATTGTCGTGACAAAGGCACAGGTCTTGTGTGAAACCGTTTTCATCAACAACCCGAATGAAGTCGTAGTTAGTGTAGAGAAATCTCGGGGTGTACATTGCAGCCGCGAGAAAAAGGCTACCTAATACACTAAACAGAGAAACACGAATCGTACATAGTCTTGGCCCCACGAACGGATGAGCGATTACAATATAGCGCTGAATCCCTAAACATGTTGTAATCCAAACAGATGCTGTGTGGAATAGGGAACTTAAATGAGACAGGTAGTCATAAAAATAGCACATTGGGTAGTCCATTGGAGTGTCCGCGTGACCAAGTCCATATATGTACACATATATGTAGCTTATCACCCCTCCCGAAAGCGTATCGCTCATTGCTAAGGCTATCAAAAGTATAGTCGTTGGGGAACGCATCTTCTTCCGGGCAAACACCGCAATGACCAAGATGTTTGTGATAAGCGTCACACCGAATATGATCGGACACAGAACCCCATACACACCAAATGCAAAAGGATAAGCATGGGGAAGACATGTTTCGTTTTCGAAATTCCTATTCATATCAACAGTGATATTACTACTGATATTTCGAGAGTCTGTACGAAAATTCTGATAGTCACCAACAGTCATATTGAATTATATGCAAGTTTTTCCTTCCAAAGTTTCACAATAATTTGTGTATTTAAAGGGAAATTTTTTTTCCGATATTGTTCAAAAAGACAATACCGTGTTTACTTATAACTGCCGCCTGTTAACATACTGAAGAACAGAACACCTGTATTTACCTGTCAAGATACTGGCAAAATCCGCAAAATCACTTCTCTATGTTAGTCCACAATTTCCATTAAAGTCCATCCACTAGAAAATTTTCATTTATTCGCAGGTGACAACCGTTTTCTTTTGAAAGTTATATCAATATGTAATCCAACCGAAAATCGTCTTCATCTGATGCCGTATTTTGGCTGGAAGCTGAAAAGCCTTGTTGATAGTAGCCCGGTCACCCGCCGAGTGAGGCAGTCCACCGCTAGCGTACGAAACGGAATCACAGGCCGGTTGGAGCGTTCATAGAACATCCAGTGCGTGCAATCAATATACGATATTTTAATAGCTGTTAAAACGGTGGTCCAGGAGTATTGAGAAATTACGGAGGTATTAAACCAAATAACTATTTACATATAAAACATTTGTCCTTTGTCTTCCTCCTCGTGACCTCTGCCAGGCTTCCTAACTCCCCTCAGGCATTGGATGTGTATATGAAGTTACAATGTATGACCTGCGCACATCCTGTTAACAAAGTGGCACACACGGTGCATGTAATTATACCATATCACAGCTGGATTTGTTACATTTGATATCAACATGAAATAAAATCGTAAAACTCAGCTGTCCGTTCTTATGTAAGACTCCTCTCTTTCTAGGAAAGTTATTTCACGCGCCCTTTGATACCTGTGATAACCAGACTGGTGATGTGTCTGTGGTTGCGGAGCCGTTCTAAGCTTATATTTTACTTGCATTACTTCGCTCACCACAAGCTGTAACACACTTCGTGTGTTTCATTTGCTGGGAGATTGCTATCAAACGTTTTGTTTATTGTGAGGGGTATTTATCTCCTAGTAAGTGTTTTTTTGGAATCACATTTTTGTCTAGCACTATTCATCGATCTGCATTTAATAGTGTTACGAATTCGATGATCCGTCTCCCCAATATTACCCGCAATGGCTTTTCGGCAGAGCAAGAATACATTGATCGAAAACCTTTTTCAGTAAAGTGCCGTCGATTTACTACATGGTAGAACAAGTAATGAAGGCGATTGTGATCGATTCTAAAGCCTTTCCAGTGGATACGGAATACATCTGTAAAATATCTTAATTGGTTTTAAATAGGGTTTTAGAGTGAAATATCTACCAATGAAATTTTAACAATATTTACGACAAGTTTAGACATTTCAAACGTAATAAGGAATGTTTTGAGGGGTCCACTTTGATACACATGAAGATTTCTGGAATATCATTGTGTTCGTCAGCTACTTGTACTTTTACTGCCGTAGACATGTTACACTCCACGTCAGTATCACAGCATGCTTGGGAGATCTACCACATCTAATCAGGAATCTAACAAGGACCGATACATATTTCTACATGGATGTGTGTCTTCTCTCCTATCCCATTGGTCAGTCCTTATTGTTTCGTTTTGTCTTACACCTGCACTCTAGCTTGTGAAATAGTACAGATGGTGTACGTGCTGTCATGATCAGTAATTTAGCATGTATAAAGATTCTTCAATTCCGATATGAAGAAATAAAACCTGCGAATGACGCATTTGTTCAAATTAAGCTTTTAAACCGTAGTTAGGGCATTTCATATTGACTTAATACAAACTTCACCTTAATATATAAGACTATATAAAATTCACATACATTTCATATGTTCGTAAATATATATAGAAACAAGGCTATGGCGTCAATTTCTTAAACGGTTAAAATTTTTCATAAATCCCATGTGAAATAGATATAAATTTCTGATTTTTTAAAGTATTACTGAAAGTCATCTGTTCGATGTATCTGTTGTGACATCTAAATCAAGTCTGCAAATGTGTTACGCCATTTTGGGATCTAATCCTGGGGTCACAATAAGTCATATTTATGGGTTCATTCGCCAAATTACACGATATTCACGTAATAAAGGAATATACATCTTATTTTCGAAAATTGTTATTCTCTTGATTACTTCCTGTATTAAAGCTACGTGATGATATATCGTACGGACTCGGCCTAACGAGATGATAACTAAAGCGACATATCATGAAATATCATCAGTATGAAAAAAAATAATGATATTTCTTAGAACAGCTGTTTAATTAAGAGAAATGACAACATCGATTCTATTTCAGGGGATAGGGAACGTAAAATGTATTTGAACGTGAATTTCATGATGATTAAACAATAATGGGCTCGCATTAATGGTTAATTCTTATTGTTTGCTATATATAAAACCAGTTAAGCTAATGAAATCGTCAATAGGATACCCTGACAACGTCATTATATAAATTTATATATACATTTATGTAGTCAGCTATTCAGAGCAAGAGATATTAAACTGGTATTTTTTCCAGTTTTTTTTTTTTTTTTTTTTATCTATCTGTTAATTTCTACCGATTAAATTCGATAATACCGCATTTGCGAAAAAATCAATATCGTAATATTTAGAATTGTCAAGATATTTGCTAAATTACTCAGGCAAACCATAATTGTATAGATGAACATCTAGCCTTATTTTGTGAGCTCTACACTGATGATGCTCAGGGTTTTTCATTCACCATTAGTCTGTCGAATCGTCGGTTTTTAAAAACACAACCAGTTTAACATTATTTAAAATAAAGAGTCGTTGTCTCGACCTAGGCTGGACCATAGAAAAGTTGTTTTTTTTTGTGTGTGTTTTTTTTGTAAAGTTGGTTAGCGATCGACGAAATGCTTCGGATTAAACGGGTTTTACGAGTTATCCGAGTTCTTGATAACAAGGTTCGGCTGAACTGGAATAATGTTTTTGTTGATAATATGAAAACAAATATTAGATAGACAAATCACAACCAATTAAGCTAAAGATCTGTTTATAATAAGCTTCACACAGAAATGATTTAAACGTTGACGAAAAGTCATGATGATTTATCTTGTGTAGTTGAATTATAAATTATATATATATATATATGAGAGAGTAGAATACTGTGTTTTCGAGCCAATGTGAAACAGATTCCTGTAATGAATTTCCACACCTATCACAACAGAGTTACAGATAATACTGTATACTCACGAAAGAATGCAATGATTATCGCTTAAAGAGTTGATCTTTCACAATTTAGCCCGTTATTTTCATATTGATTTCTTCGTTGAATTACTCTATTCAGGAAAAACATCATTGGTAACTTTATCGCCCTTTCAGACATTGTTACTGAGACGATCTCCAATTGGCATATAGGATATAAGCGATCATGGGATACATAGAACAGACTACACTAGTCAGCTAAAATGTTCTATTTGTCGGACAAATTCGGCTAAACCCCGGTTTTCCCGTACGGTAAATTGTCCTGGGGTCGTGTAGGGTTTTGAACGGGAGCTGTTGGATGGAAACAGCCGTCTCCTTGAATACGTTGTAATTGGTACTGCGGCATCGGTCATTATACTGACCAAAGCCTTACATCGTATCTCCTACCAGTGGACGTTGTGGTCAGTTTGCGTTTATTAAAAGAGACAAATCGTTGCCCTAATAAAGACTAATCGCGTGCTTGTCCAATAAAATAAATTGATATCTGGATACAACGGTATCCTAGAAATTTATTGTGAACGGCGTGGCAATGTTGTACATGCTCCCCGAATAATTCTGTCAACACGGATAGTCTTAATGCATATTCCGACATTCAATAATAGAAATGGAAACAATTTTGGAAAGATCTTCCATTTCATGGCCAATTTAGTTGATAATGGAACATCTTTCTCAATGCGTATTTAATTAAGGACACTAAATGCCGATATTGGTAAACTTTATCAGTGAACCAGGGAGTTTGCTATATCCAACATTAATTTCAATTGGAACAGGAATTTTTAGAAATCTGAATATTAACCGGAGAAAGCTTGTGATTACTATGGAATGTTATAAATTTCTATTGATTCGGCTAATCAACTCGGTTTTGAAATAGTTAGATATGTTACAAAGCTCTCCAATTTTGTGTAAGAAGACTACAGAGGTAAGTCGATTAATCAATATTTGAAAAATTCCAGTTAGCATCGTCATTGCATCAACATTTCTTTATGTGGTATCATGTATATAACACAATGCATGCTAAAAATGTGATTTAGTTAAGCATGTCTTTGATATTAAGAATCTTAAAGTGCATACAAGGTTCAGAATATTGAAAGAATGTGAATAAATCTGAAATTTGACTAATACTGTAAACACAGAATGTTTCAAAAACGATTATTTTTGTTTGGAAATTAACGTGTAAAGAACATGAAAGCCGTTAATTTATAAGCAAGATTTTATCTAGCAAAAACCGAGGTTTTTATATAATTGCATGGAAAATGATAACCGTAATTATATTCTGGAATGAAATGAAGTAAATTAAATCTTTAAAAGAACATTAATATATTTTGCACAAGATCGACGAGAAAAGAAAATATTCTGCCTGCAATAGAATAAAAAGTACACGCAAGAACACTTACCAGCAGCATTTCTTATATAATTGCTTAAACACATCCTCCGTAATTTTAATTGTGCGAGAGTTGGGGGATAGGAGGGAGAGCTCCTGCGTAAGACGACCTTGACTTTACAATGTACGTGTGTTTGGATATTTAGATTTGTGGAGGGTTTCGGAGTGCAACTTATTCAGATTGTAAGCCAACGATGTTTCTGATATATATTACTATAGACATGTGTGTGTTTATTACTTTATTTCAAATGCAGGTTATTATTTCTCAAGCACGGTAACAAGCTGGCCTTGAAGACAAACATATCATAACATGTTATTCGGACACGAATATACGCTTCAGCATTGACAAGAAAGCAGCTGATTCAATATTCTGCTTATTTATTTTTGGGCGAGACAACCTTCCTTTAGATATGAGGAGTTTGAAATGTAGA